GGCCAGGGGCACTGTGTAACCTCCTGCTAGGCTGGGGCTGTTTGGCCAAAATGCGCATATGACCAGGTTGAGAAGCTGCCTTAAACTCTCATGCTGGCAATGAATTTCGGGTTTTGCTATGGAAAAAGTAAGTGACAAAAGCAAAGAAAAAATTTCAACTGTAAAAGAATAGGAACTTCCTGAGAAATGAGTAAGCTGTGAGAGACAGGGCTGTGGGAGGAAATGGGACGGCACCCTGAGCAGGCTCCTGCGGCCCCACACTGGCCAAGGCATAGCAGGGTGGCAGGTAAGGCCCGAGGAGGGAAGGGGATCTGTCTCGGCCTTCGAGGGTCTTACTGGTCAAGGGCTATATCGGGCTCCTGGGGCCCACATGCTACGTGGGGGACAATCCCTACAACCGCCGCTCCCCCAGAGCCTCCTCCACAGGCGGAAGCTGGCTGGGTAGGCAGACTCGTGGTAGCTGTGTGGCTGCTGGGGCACGCGCCCTCACCCTGTTCTTCCAACGGTGCTGCAGACAGAGCGAGCTGCAGCCCAGCTGCAAGTGGCTGAGGGCTCTCTTCCTGCTCAGAGCCTAGAAAAGTCTGTCTCAGAAGCTCCCTGAGGCTCACAGTGCCCTTCTCCTCCTGGAAACCTAGGGGCCTGAGCGGTGCTGCTTGCTTGGGATAAGTGGCTGGCAGCATATTAAACACACACAGAAACGAACACCGACAACCATGACTTCACCGGGGCTTTCCCTGTGCCCCTGAATCCACCACGCAGGCAGCAGCAACCGCCCCGGGCTGGATGGAGGTCCCTGCAGGGAAAGCACTAGTGGGGACTCAGAAAGGGACGCACAGCCAGCTGAGAGGGCTTCACTCAATTTCATTCATCAGCAGAGAACATGGGACACGCAGCACAGAGAACACGGGACACGCAGGCCAGGCTCTTGGCCTTGGAGCGGTTTTTAAAAGCCAAGTGGAAGCATAAAGGCCCAGGAAGAAGGAAGGGAAAGAGGCGGCCCCCCGCTGTCCTGCACTCGCTTCTGGCCACAGACGGCCCCGCCCTCCTTGCCCTTCGGTGGGGTCGGAGGTGGCTCGGGGTGTGGCCAGGAGAAGCCTGCACAAGCTCTGTCCCCTACGGCCACCTCAGTCCTGTGCGCACTGGCTAAGGAGGCAGCTCAGGCCGGGCCCTTACCCGCTTCTGACAGGTCGCGCAGAGAGCTGCTGAGTGCACTGCGCTTGAGGCCCTCGCTGCTCGCGTAGCTGTCGTCCAGGCAGGCCCGGCTCAGCATCCCGTTGCCCGGCTCCTTCTTGAGGCTGGAGCACTGGGACACGCTGGGCCGCACAACGCCCTTCTGCTTCTCGAGCTCCGCTGGAACATAGGGTGACAGGCAGGTGAGGGGGGCACCGTGGGGGAGGCAACCCTGGCAGGAGATGTAGGCGACGTGGCCCTCCGCTTGGTGCTGGCACTGGCCTGCGCCACCAGCCACCAGGAGACCTGGGCGGGACATGGGAGGCCAGGCTGCAGCATTGAGCGGTGCGGCCAGCTCGGGCAGGGAGGCGAGGGCTGGCCGGGTCTGGGAGGAAAGCAGGGCTCTGCCCGGCACTGCTGCCAAGGAGGCAGTGGAGGGGGCAGCCGCGTGTCTGCAGGGAGTGACCTGGGGCTGTGCCACTGAGGAGGCGTGGCTAAGAATCATGCTGAAGGCAAAGGGCTCGCCCTGGACTCTGCAGCTCTTGCCCAAGGGTGACCGGGCAGTGGGGGGCGTCCCTGGGCAGCTGCTGTGCTGACAGGAGGGGCTGTGTCCCTGGAGAAGTGGGCCCTCCCCTCCCAGGGCCCTCACTGGCAGTGTCTGTGGCCTGGGTGTTGCTGTCCCGCCAGGTGGCTATAGAGGGTAGGGGGGACCAGTGGCGCCTCCCCTGTGGTCTGAGACAGGGAGGCAAAGGTGGGAGCCCAGCCAGCCTAGGGGACCCGGGGACCTGGGGGACGGTGCCTCCCGCATGCTGGGTCTGGGACTCACACTCTATCCGGTGCTTCTCCATCTCCTGCACTTCTGCCACAGACTCCCGCAGGTCATCGGTGAACTTCTTCCGGTCTTGAGGGTTGGGGGCATTGAAGGTGATTAACACTTTGGTGTCTGCCCCGGGCACAGCTGACGTGAGCCGGATGCCATTGGGGTAGTCTGTGAGGGAGAAGGAGGTGTGTGAGCTCAGGGCACCTCTGCCGTGTCCATGCTGGTCACAGGGCCCGGGACATGCGTGGCCTGGAGAAGAGCTCTGAGCTCCACCTCAGCAGCAGAACCAAGGCAATCACGGACTGTTGCATGTGCCCAGCCCGGGCCCTACCTCCACACCCAGTGGAGGTGACACAGCCCTTGAGAGGGGAATGCCGCCAGGTCCGCCTGAGAGTCAGGAAGATGGCCTTCACCTTGAGGCCACTGTCAGGTGCCAAGTCCAGGAGGAGGGCAGAGAGGGTGTCCCTGAGCTGGTTGGGGGGTCTTATCCCATCACCTGGGCAGTGCTGGATGACACACTGAGAGCTGCTCTCCCCAGTGCCCACAGCTCCTGGCACACACAGTACCCTCCTCAGTGTCACCTGGGCTTTGGCTCTGGTCATGGGAATCCCCTGGCTGAGCGCCCCCTGCTGGATATTCCAAGGGCCTTGGCCTGGTGGGGCCGCAAGTGACTGGTGCGGGGGCCTGTACGTGTGTGCAAGTGTGTATGTCTCCGTGTGCACCACAGCTTCCTGGTGCTGCACAGGAAGGGGGTCCAGCGACACCGAGCCTCCTGATTTTTCAAGTGAAGCCCAATACATGTAAATGTTAATGTGAAGATTTAAGTGTGGGCCGAACCATGCTCTGGGATTTGGGGCTGAGCCTGGGAACCCCGGGGATCACGTCCAGTCACTCTTGGCTGTTCACTGTGCTGAGGCGGGTGAGGGGCAGAGGAAGATGCCCTTCAGCGTTCAGCAGGAGGAATACAGGCACCCCCCCACCCCTGCAGACTCACACTGGTTCTCGAAGAGCAAGACCTGCAGGCCATACAGGGAGAAGGACTGCCGGAAACTGTATGTCACTGAGTTCTTCTTCTTCTGGAAGATCTTGGTGACCTAAGGCACAGACAGAACTAGGCCACTGGACTGACGGGACTCCACGCTGCACCTGGGGACCGTCCCTCAGCCCAGAGGGCAGCAGCTCTGGGCTCAGCTGATCTGGGTGGACACAATGTTGGGGACAGTGGGGCCTGTCCAAGTGAGTCCTAAGTGACATCTGGCTGGCAACACAGCATCACGGTAAGCAGAGGGGCGCTGCCATCACTGTGGGTGACCCTAGGGGCCCTGTTACAACGGGAGCTGTGTGCATGGGGCCTGGTGCCCAGAGGATGGACCGGCAGTCAGGGCCTGGTGTGCTGACTTTAGAGGCCAGGCCATGCTCTTTCGGGGACCAGCCCTGGGAGTCAGACCTGCTCAGCACAAGCCTTCCTTCAGCTGGGAAACATGCACCAGAGATCCCCACCCCAATAGCCCTGTCTAGCCTGCAGGAAAGAGAACTGTTCTCCTCCCAGCTTCAGGGGGTGGGGCTTGTGCCCCAGACTGAGCCTATCAGAACGCACTGCCCCTAGGAGCCTCAGTGATTGGCTGTGGCAGGGAGCCACAGGCTCCCCCTGAGCAGCTCACAAGGCTCAGACACCCTGCTGGCTCTGAACTGGGGTGGGCCTGGCACTGCACGCATCCTTTCTTCTCCCTCCTGGAAGAGTGCCCGCCCCTGAGGACCCCCCCAGAGAAGAAGCCTGCACCGCTCAGAGGTCAGAGAGAGAGGAGTCCCGGAAGACAGCTGGGGCTGAAACCTAACCACCCTGCTGCATGTTCACCTGTGCCAAAGAAGGCCGCTTTCCCTGAGCACCAGTCTGGGTTGAATTCTGTCCCTGGTAACCCAAGACACACAGGCAGAGGGAGACCGGGGTCCAGGGCACGGCACAGGAGCCACCCACGTACCACCAAGAGGTCGTTAAACAGGAAGATTTCACGCTGATGCAGCCCCAGTTTCTGGGGCTTGTTAGGGTCCGGAACCTCGAAGAGCCGGCAGTAGCAGACCAGCCGCCGATGGGGCAGAGACAGCACCTGTGCAGGGAGAGACGTTGCCTTCACCACCAGCCCCTGTAGCTAAGAAGTCCGCTTGCATTGCTGGAAACCAGCCTGTCAGCCTGGCATGGAAAGCGCTCCCAGCCAACTGTGTAGGCCGGACGGGGTCCTGGCTGTGAGCAGCTATCCCCACTCTGTCCTTGGCAGCTGCTCTCAAAGTGCTGATACTGCCAGGCATGCTTACACACACCCACAATCCTAGCACTAGGGAGGCTGAGGCAGGAGGATCATCCTAAATTTGAGACCAGCCTGGGCTAGTGAGTTCAGCCAGCCCAAACTACACAGTGAGACCCTATCTCACAAAACCAAAAAGTAAGACAATTCCTGATGTCCACTTTCCTGAAGGACTTGGGAAGCACCCTCACTTTGTTGGGCCCTTCTTTCTATTCTTTGATGAGAATCAAACTTTTTAACTCTTTACATTCATGGGGTGACCCCCGCCAGGGGGAAGTCAGGTTTTCTGACTGCCCATAGGTGTACATGCACCTACAAATCCATCAGTCTACAACAAAAGCCTTCCAGAGAGTCTACTCTGGATGGCGAAACTGAGGCACTTGCCTTCCATCAACAAGCCAGGAGGCTGCAGGGCCGGGATTTAGTTCCAGCCTGTAGGATGCTCCCTCACTGCTGGGCCCCCACAGGTTTCAATGGCTCCAACCCAAAGGCCCCCTCCAAGGTCCGAGCCGCGGCTGCGCCAAGGGTGGCCGCCTAGGCCTCGTCCACCGTGCTCGCTTGCCCCAAACACCCCCACAGTGC